GATCAATTATTGTCTTATTAATAACTTACGGTGAATCTTGTCTTATATAAAACAATAGTCTCTTAATTTTACCTTTATTAATGACTTACATTTGTACACTCGAGTAATCAAACCAAACCAAAAGCTACATCATAAACAAGAAGAAGAAAAGAAAAAATCTTCCGAAATTCCAAATTAAGAGAGAAAAAAAAAAGTTTTTAGCTTTGCAGAGTTCATGTAAAGGTTCACGATGACCGCTTTTAACCTTTTCCTCCTCGAGAACACCAGTCTCCCTCATCCACCTGAGAATTCGCATGCTGCCCACGCAAAACGCCCCGCCCTCGACCTCTACGAGGCGTTGAAAGCCAGAAAGAAAGATTCTTCCTCAGATGGCGAGCTGTCTTACACCCTCCGTCGTGCATTAAAGAGCATATTACAATTCCCATGCATACGTGGAGGACGTCAACTCCTACTCTAATAAATAGGTACAGTTTCTGAATTCTTTCCTCTTCTTTCTTTTCTTGCTCCACTTTGTTTCCTCAAGATAAAGAGCAGAATAAATCACTACATTCACACCCCTCTTCTCATTGGCAACAAGGAGAAGATGCAGTTCATCATCATTCATGTCGTAGCTACAATGCACGCATTGCTTAATAAAACCCACCCAAACCCTCCGTAGCGACCGACTTCTTCTCTTGATCTACTTCATCTCTTGCAGCATGAATGGCGGTGGTGGTGTGCCCCATGGCAGCTCCACTGCTGCGCCGGCACTCGGCACCGAGCCTCGGCTCGCGTCACATGTCTGCTCCTTCTGCAGGAAGCACTTTGGAAGCCTGCAATCCTTGGGAGGTCATATGACCATGCACCGGCGCGAGATGGAGGAGCTGCGGCGGCAGCATGAGGCGTACATGGCGAGCCATCGCCAGCCAAGGCCTGCAGTACCAACGCCCGCGGCGCGTTCGAGCATGCGGATGCTACGACCTCGCCATTGTCGCCTGCAGGAAGCTCGTGGGATATACATGACGCCGCTCGCCGCCAACCATGCCTTCTGGGCGGCGTACCGGAGCACCGATCGGCTTCCCCCTTTTATCAACTTTATGGGGGTGATGGAACCCGAGGCGGCGGCGGCGGCGGCGCCACCGCTCCTGCAGCTTCCTCAACAAGAGGTTCGCCAGGTTGAGTCATCCGAGGATACCCTCAGTGATCCATTGGTTGCTAGTTCGAGAGAAGAAGAGGGTGACGAAGCGAACTCCTGAGTCTCGATCCGATCTCCTCCATGCTCTCAACTAAAAAGGTCTAGTGATTAGCGTCCTAAGAATAAGCAAAAACCGGCATTGGATATGGTATTGTGCTGTTCGTGTTGTTTGTCGATCTCAGTTTCGAGTTTGTGTGTTCATTCAATCTAATTCGTCTTGAAAACACATCTAAATACTCTCAAATTTGCATCATATGCAGGTGATATGATCAAACATTTCTATCAAAACAATTATGCTCTAACTTTTGTGCACGCAATACAACTACTGACTCAACCAATCAGTGCTCTGAGTTGGAAACATTGTTCTTTTAGCAGAAATTCTTCTTGGCAAACCCTAGCAGATGATCAAAACCACCGATGTTCAAAAAGACCTTATAAATTGCAGCAGGAAAAGTCTTGCGGCCATTTGTCTTCCACAGACCTCTCCTGTAATATGACATTGAATGATGATGGTTATGATTCTTGTTTTACCAGTAACATCTGTCATTTGCCACTATCAGCATGCAACAGACGAGTGTGGATTACACGTTGGGTCACATGATCTAAGAGGTTTAGGACAAGAACGATCAAGAATCTATATTATGATGTAACCTGAAGAATTGGTGCATTATGAAGATGACCTTATTATTGTTGTTGTTGTAGTAATTTATGATCCATTAGTCTTTAAAGCAGACTAGAAAGAAGATAAAAATGTGAAAAGCTATGCATAAAACTCTAAATGAGAGATTCACTACAACTCTCGAAGAACACAAGATGATCATTGGTGTCAAACAATTCGTCAAATCAAAATCAAGGAAATGTAAAAAGAAAAAAGAAATCCAATTTCATTCCAAGCATCAATTCAACTCCATCAAGATAATATAGTGCCTAAAAATGAGCTACAAAGAAAGAGCATGTTACAACAAAAGTTCAAAGATTCCGACCGCAAAAAAAAGAAACTTGACATATTAGATTAAATAAGTTTAAGATGAGAAAATATTGGAAATTACACATGTTCAATTCTCATCAATATTGTTATCAGCTAGAGCACTTGTGTCGTTAACTTTGCTCAATTCCATTGTTAATAACTTACAAAGTGACTCATCTTATATAAAACAATTGCCTCTTAATTTTAGCTTTGTTGTTGTCACTACTTAATCATGGTACATTTTGTAGCTTGTTTGATCCACTTCAATTTGCCAATCCATGAATGCTATGCGCATCCTTACTTGAATGTAGATTGCTTGAATTGAAATGGTAAGGATATGGAATGACCAAAGAGAGCTATTTATAGTCTATGGTTGAGTTAGAAAGATAGAAATATGCTTCTGTTTAATGGGTAAGTGATAATTATGGATATCCTAAGCAGAAAAGCACTTCATGATGACTACTTTTTAACATTTTCTTCCTCCTCGAGTATGTCATGTCGCATGTCTCTTCTCCAAATAGATTCTCATGCCGCCAAATAGATTCTCACCTTCTTCCTCAGTTGGCAAGCTGTCTTATACCCTCTGTCGCCCATTAAAAAGCATAAACTCAAACCCAATGTAGTATTAGAATCACAAATGCAGGTAACCATTTCTTATTCTTTCTTTCCTACGAGCAAACTAAATCGCTACATTAACACCCCCAAGGTTACACAGTTCATCATTCATACTCACTATATATAGCCCCACTCAAACCCTGCGTATAGCAACAGAACTCTCCGTTCCCTAAGTATACTTCATCCCCTTGCAGGCTTCCATCGTGAGCCATCATCCGCGAAGACCTGCACCGGAGCCTGAGGTGGTCGCGAGAATGACGGCGCCCCAACAGCTTCTGTAGCCTCCTCGTGGACAGGTCCACCAGGCTGACCCATCTGAGCTCACCTGTGATCAGATATGTGATAAGATTACCTCAAATGATCCAGATTAGATGTAATAAAAAATAAAAATAAAAAGGATTTATTGGATCATGATTTATTTTATTATTATTATTATTTTTAAAAAAATTATACTATCTTTTAAATAATATAAATAGGTGCTGAATCCAAAGCATCACAGATTGATCCTCGTTCCCTCTACTATCTTCTCTCCTTTCTCTATAGAGTTTTGTAGAAAAGTTAATGAGGATAATATCTGATTTGAATAAGATAAGTAGAAGTATATTGATTAAAAAAGAATGGAAGATAAATGGATCCAAAAGATGGAAAAAAAAAAAGAAAGATGACATGCAACGGAGTAAATATTTTTAATCAACTTCTTGTTATTTTCAAAGTTCAAAATTATCAATTTTGGACCATTAAAATGAGAACTTATTTATTTTACAATGATTGTGAAATTTAATAGAAAATAGTTTTGTTGAGTATAATAGGTAAGAGCTCAATATTATTGAAGATAAAAAATCTAAGATGAATGATAACATACGGAAAGATGTAAGAGCTCTTTACATGCTACGATAAAAATAAAAAATTTCAACATAAATTTAAAATTCTTATAATAAAATATTTTAAAAACTTCAAAAGGTTTCACTACTACTACTCTTTCATGGTTTGCCTCGGGATTGTACAGAAAGTACATCACATCAAACTATATCTAAAAGAGTGTCATTTGAGCTTTAAATGCTATATAATATTGCTCCATCGACTCCGTCATAGATACCTATCTTTAGGTTCATGAGCTTCAAATTAGGACGCACAAGAGTTTCCTAGACAGTTGGGGTGAAATGCGATATAGTTGAGGTCAGTACATATCTGAACCATCGATTCATATCTTGGAATTACTAATGTATCGATAATAAATCTTCAAGGTCTTGCATAATATAGAAGGCGATCCTAACGTTTGTAAGAACTTGGTTCTCCTCGATCGACATAAGACTAAGTATATTTATCACGCAACATGCATCTTTATACATTTGCGATATAAAATGTATTGGCCGGCAGGCTGATTTGGGATTTAGGATTCGATGACACTAAGTTGACCATGAACTCCAAAGTCCATAGTCCTACCATAGCTCCTTGCCCTTTGGGCTAAGGGGGAGATCTTATTGGCGAGCGAACAAATCTCCTTGTGCCTAATTCGCCAATAGCTACTTGAGTTATGACGGTGTCCAGGATGATGGATTGATTGCATCACTCTCACCTGGAATTTTTTTACCTGTTAGGCCGCCAACCGATAAAACGTCTCAGTTAATATAAAAAGGCTAGTAGATAAAGTTTAATGATGTTTACATATCAGACTCTATATATAAAGAGTATATATACAATAGCGGTGTCGTTTCGAGTGTTCTCCTCATCAGGAATGCAGCAATTTGAGTATAGATGATGTTTCACATATCACCATCTTTTTGGCATCAATTTGATGAGGTCAAGTTCTAATTGTCCATCCGGTAAAAGGGGATGGAGACTATGAAAAAATCTATGTACCTATGACTCTCAAAGAATTTCTTCTAATATGTATGAAAAGATAGAAATAAAATATGACTAAATAAACAAAATGGATGCTGGTATAAAATTATTTCCTTTAAACACCAATACGCATTCCAATAACGCAACTATCATCACCATGGTAACTAATTTCAGCCGGAGTAAGACATTTCATGAGATAATAGGAAAGCTTGGTTTCATCTAGTAGAGTATCCACAGCATTAGCTGCACAAGAAATGATGAACATGACAAATGATTTTTATCAGGCATGTGACCAACAACGAACTCCATAGAATCAATCGATTTGGAATGCTTTCACTCTGTTCACTATATACATACAAAAGGAACGTGCAAATAAAAATCAGGAATAAGAAATATCTAATGGAATCTTGGAACAGTTTAGCCTCCGCACATTTTCAAATATCTCGAAAAAAATTGACATTGTTAATTTTGCTACCGAAACTAAGTGCATTGGATTGTACAACATGACATGAGTTCGCGTGGATCTGTCTTCAGCACTTGCTGATGCCTTCTAAATACATCACACATCAAGTAGTCTCAGTGAAGGACAAGACGGATTTAACAACACAGGACATCCCGCTCCTTATGGTACCTAATTTACAGGGGAATTCACATCACCGAGCACATGACCATGCATGCTACATTATAACTGTTCTTTGACAATTTCAGGAAGAGAAGGTGATGATGAACCGTTGTATTTACTGGGCACTGGTGTGTTCTTCTGGGACTGGCGCTTCGTGGGTACTAGTTTAGTTTCATACTCTTGCTCCCCACCACCCGAAAAGCTATCGTCGTCATCCTCATCTTTGAATAGTGGGTGTACATATGCATTCAGGAGGTATGCTCTCAAGTCCAGGTTAGGTTCCGTGGCATGCTCTAATGTGTCTTTCATCATTGCTTCCTGCAAGTGAAAAAGCATAAGATCAAATTTTTATCAAGAGAAAAATCATACTCAACAGATATGTAACTACTTCTCATTTCAAAACACCTCTAGCAGCATCTTAGTAAACGGAAAGCATATCTAAGCAAGTTAATGTTGAGGACTCATACAATAATATCAACTAGCTCCCAGTAATGGATGCAGACGATGCTACGATTCAGATTTGGCCACTGCTGACAAAGGCTATCGAAGATGCATGCCAATATAAGACATGATTTTAGCAGTAATATGATGAGCCATTTTTTGGAACTGATTACCTATTTGATTTAGTTTTGCAGAGAAGCAATAGTAGTTATAGTGAAGGCTACGATGTAACAATCATATGACGGATAACAGCAGCAGCAGTTGTCCGCATTTGATTTATCAATGTTGTCGTTATTCAAGTGCAAATAGCTACAAGACCTACATCCTTGCAGTATCTCTATTGTGATGATGAAAATAGCAACACGTAACATCACAATTTTTGAGGAAGATATGTGATACTCCAGCTATTACTGATTACAATTATAGGAAGAAACTGAAACTTTGAGACTCTCGGTATAGAAATAGAAAAAAAGAGGAAACCTACTCCAGACCATTCAATAGGTAACAGAGTAAGAAAGCATCTGATCAACTTTTTTTGCTGCCACAATAAACATGCAGAATATTTTGGAAAATCTTCCATTTTTTCTTTATTTACTCAATTATGAGGAACCACCAACATTTCAAGCACACATTATGCTTTAAGTTGACCTTAGAATTAAATCTGATTACTGACGAAAACAATAGAAATTTCAGTACAATATCCTATGTGACTCGTGAAAATCTGACAAGCAATCATGCAGACAAGTCTATCATTTAAATAAAATGAATATGAAATTAATAATAATATAGACTTACAATTTCAATATAAAATTAAAAAAATTGAAATAGAATTCATAGATTTAGTCTTTTTGTTAATCTTTCTAACTCATCTTTAATAAAACATTACCTGAAGTGGATATTTAACAAATGCAGGTTCATAACGGTTCTTGCAAAACCTATGAAATGATATGGTCAATACAGGAAGAACTAGTAGCAAAGGCGTCGAGTTTGCAGCATGCTTTGTACTTAGAAGTCCAAGTAGAAGCAGCTGGGAAATAATCAGAGCAGTGATGATACGACCATGGACATCTGGCCAAAATGCTGCTCCACTTTCGTATTCTTGATTGTAGACATTAATAATCTGAATCATGAGAAAAACTGGATCAGCAAAAAATACTAGATTTGTTAGATGCAAGTTATTTGATGGTTAACAGAGAAGTGACAAACATGAATCGAGTATTCCAGCATTATGTTGCCGTTATCCTTTATTATATGCAAATTATTTGATGGATAAGGAAGTAAGCATATAATATAAATTATTATTCCACAAGTAATTTTAGCTATTATTAACCTGAAATAAGCTAGCACAAGAGAATACAAGTTATCTGATGGACAAAGAAGTAAGTGAATAATATGCAATATGATCATTCCACAGTAGGCCACTTCAAATAAGCTAGCACAGACATGCGGTAGTTTGGAAACCTAATTTGGAGACTCTATGTCTTAATTCCTTTTTGTTTCAATGCAATGTCTCTTTCACTAAGTTTACTTCCCTAATTATTTATCTCCACAGGCATAGAAGTCATCCACCACAAAGTATTATCCTCCATTTAGAAATAGATGAGAATATAACAAAAAGCTTGAGGAAAGAGAAGTCAAGTGCTTCATAAAACTAATAAACTCTCACTCTAGCCTTTTAGGACCACTATTCATACTAATGAACATGATTGCGAAATTCAAGGAAATTTAATAGACTTTGTATGTATAGGTTTCTTTGAAGTTCATGAACAAATATTTGAGATCTTCAGTTATTATGTTTGTGCAATTCTCTAGCAATTTCTTCATTTCTATTTTTATTAAAAGAGAGAATTCAGTTTTCCAGTTTGATTAAGCAATATATAAAAGATGCTTCCCTTGATCTATAAAAATATATAGGAAAAGGAAATCATGGATGCCTCCTAAGGACCTTGAAAAAGTAATCTCTTCTTTAGGCTATTTAGACACTAACATTTCCAAGAAAGGATTTAAATCTTGGTTTGATGTTGCTTTCAGTAACTGGTTGGATCAGCCTGTTTCAACAGACTAACATGTATCACCCAGTATCACCAGAAAATTTTTTTTGAAAAAACTTATTATGAATAGTACCAACCTACATGATACTGGTCCTTAGTCATACTAGTAAATAAGAGTCCATATTGCCTGGTACGCCCAGTCCATAATGTAGGAACAACTAGATGTTACACAATATCATGACTTAACAGGAAACTATTCACACACCACCAAGGAAAGCAGTATTTCACTGCATCATACTTGTCATTTCTCCCATCAAAAGATAATCAAGATAGTAACATAGAAGGGATTGAGAAGTATTAATATATTTGATCAACTAGATCTTACTTCTACAATGTGATTAGACCTTAGTTCTCATTCATATTTGCAATAACAAGGGGGCAAAGCAAAGATTCTCTCTTTCAGCAATGAGACAAGAAATAGGGATATAGGAGAAAAAAGTGCAGAAGACATGACAGATGAGTCCTCAACCTCGCCAAAGGCCAACTTCCCGATCACAATTAATAGATGAAATGGCCCTAAATAGCCAACAAGAAGCATTAATGCAAGTAGTTATAATTCATGGATAACAAACTATCATTTAACCACATTTTCTCCTTTTCCAACATAAGGCTCATTCTCTAAAGATCAACTTGTTATTCCCAATATATCAGGTGTTTAGCAAACAAGTACCTCATTTTGTTGGGTTTACCACAACAAATAACTACTAGCATAGCCTAGATGGGCTTATACTGTTGGAACTACATAGAAGGGTAAGAAAGAATATACTCCACATAACCAAGTTCAAGGCAACTATCACATGTTATTCATTGAATCAGACATGGAAATGTATCAACATAACACAATCTTTTTATAAAATATATGGCAACTCTGAATGATCAGGATCATTAAATTCCTGAGGTTCTTACCTGATGACGAAAGACAGCATAAGCCAAGGCAAAGAAAATTATTATGAAAGGGAGTAAGAATGGCGTGACCACTGCATATACAAGACCAAGCAGAAAGTAAAGCTGTATTTGAGGTTCTGATGAGGCAAAATCAATGCTTCCAGGATCCATTGCCTCTTCCCTGTCTTTTTCAGTCTTCACCAAGAAAAAATTCTTCAAATGGTAGATTATTAAAGGCTTCAATCTTAAGATCTCTCCAGCAATTCCAGCCCAACCATCAACCATGACGTAAGTGATAAAGAATGTTGCTTTCTGGGGAATGGATACACCTATTGTCTTTGGAATTCTACATAACAGGACAAATTTCAAAGTATAAAGACTTTATTACATAACTTACTAAATTGATGAACAATTAATTATACAAGTTAGATATAGATAAATGATCATACGGAAATATTCAACCTTGTACAATTGACTAGTCATGTTAACTATAAGATATCTCATTTAATGTTAATTTCTAGCACAAAAGAATAATAAATAAAATGCAAGACAATTAGTATACTATATAGTTATAAAGAATAAAACCAATTATGTAAAAATGTTTATGTTGTGTTTCACCCAAGGTGAGTTGTCATGTAATCCTTTTCCAGCAGGTCATTAATCTGGTACTGCTACTATGATGCCACACCATGCATTGTTATGAGGTGTGTGAATTTATTTTATATGCTAGCATGAAAACCAGCATTCATCTTTGTAGCATGCTTGTTAATCTTCAAGGCAGTATGTACTTGTGGTATGTACTTGTGAATTAGTTTTGCTACAAAGATTGAAAAGTACTTATAAACTATGCTTGACAAGTACTTGTGGAATGCTTGTGAATTTAGTTTTGCATTATGGCCTATTCACAAGTATTTTAACAAGTACTATCATAGCCTAGATGGACTTATAAATGGTGGTATGTCCTGAAAAGATTAAAGTATGGCCAGCAAAACTAAATTCTTGGTCTACCACAAGAAGACAACTGTTAATTTTTCAAAAGCATAAATGTATAATGAGAAAATTCTAGAAGTATAAGGGCATAAAATAGATACAATAAAAGTGGAAATGAATAAAAACCAATAATTTATGATAAGATGAAGCCAAGATTAATGGACCAGAAAGACTATAAATTTTAATCATTGTTACATAATCAAATAAACATTATAATGGATAAGTAACAAACTAAATGTTGATTTGAGGAGTAAATGAGTAGACAAAATATTGGCAATTTAGTTCTATTCAAATGTGAAAAACCCTAAGATGTCATAAAGCTTGAAGTAATGGTGAATTAAGAGCCCAAACATAACCAGAAGACAACTGTCTGAAAGAACTAAAGGAGTCTCATAACCTAGTACAAAAGAGGAGAATAACTAGTGACAGGAGGTTGAAGTTGAGCACTTGAAAGTTGAAAGTACAGGAGTTAAAAATAAATTATTCTTGTATGCTCACATGCAACCATATAACCAATACTTTGGGAGGTTCCAGCAAAGGGACTATTATCTTTAGAGGGTAGACAAATAACAGGCAGTATCAAATAGGAGGTATATATTAACTTGCTGTCATGTTAACAGAATTGTGTGAATGATGACAAAAGGGAAAAAACAAGACGAAGAGGGAAAAGGATGAGAGAGTTTGTGGGTGTGTGAAAATATCCCATCAACCCTTCAGTTTGGCAGTGTCAAACGACATAAATACAAGAACTCTTCCCCTCTCCTAAAACCTCCCACCCACAATAGATAAATAAATGAAAATAATGCATATCCCAACGATGTCATGTTGTCCACATGGATTGTTTCCCACCATTGGTTACTCTTGAAACCAACATCACAAGTAAAACTAACAGCAACTAATTTTTTTTTCTTAGTTATACTTAATTTGTTAAAAGACACTTCTACAGTATATCAAATATTCTCTTCTCCCCTTTCGAGGCAAATCTATATGAGATGTTAATAAACTGCAAAAGTTATTATTACTATATCTCTCATCCCATATATATTTATTAAATGACTTGATGGATCTCTTTCTTTTTCATCATTGCAATTTGCAACAAAGTTTACTTGTTGGCATCAGCACCATGCCGAAATCGTACTGGACTAATTCATATTGGTTGGTATAACATGGTTTGCCTTGGTACATCAATAAAAAGACACTAAAAATTACTTAAGATATTGGAACCAACCAATATGTTGGCACACTAATATACAAGTACACAATTGGATAGGTACAGCCAGTAAATCATAAACTTTGGAACTAGGTTTGAAGTACACTGCCTATTTTATGTGTTCTTTTTTCTCCCCAACCTCTACATCAAATTTACCATCTAATACATAATTTTAGGTTGAATCTCACAATAATTTATTTAGAAATCAATAGAACTGTTGCCCATCTGATCATACGTAACTACAACTTCTTTCAGTCAATCATACTCCTTTACGACTCTTGTGAAAGGATTTAGTTGAGAAAAACTCCTGATTTGAATGTTACATTTATAATTCACCTTTTAGACTTGCTTTACTATTTTCCTAGGAGAACATTTAGCTATTTAATTTATATTTAAGAATTCGTTCCACATCTAACAGCAAATAACTGTCAGCACAGATTGAAAATTGTAACAGGCGATATATTATTTCATTAGGTTTACAGATAAAAATAGTAAGAAATATTTCATTGAATGCTGATGTTCATAATAAACCAAAGAGCTCAGAATTGCTCAGTATACCACTTCTTTTATTAGTTTTTTCAGTGATATTGGGTGATATAGGCCTATATATGGTTTGGTATCTCTAATTATGCCAGACTAACATGTAATCAAAATCAATATAGGACCAGTATTTAAAATCTTGTTCCCCAAAAATTTGATGTTTAGCTGATATTGATAAAAACATGGATCAAGATTCATGCATAAAACATGGTGTCGACATAGATGTATGAATTTCTGAGCCAATGGATTCATCAACCATTATGCACATCCATGCCCAGATGTTGGTATCAACAATTTGTAAATAAGTGAATTGGTTAAAACAATGAAATAATTATTCTGCATAATTACTTTCAGAAATCAGGATAAGTTGCAAGACATACTCCGTTGCTGACTGGTGAATGAAAGAATTGAGTTGTTGGAATGCTGTTCCAGTGATTATGCTCCCTAGAAATACATTAACAAGTATGAAGAGGTAATATTTAGATGCAGATCTCCTCTGCAAAACCGATAAGGATGTAAATCCTTCAAACTTCGACATAAGCATCAATATTGTTGGGAGCAATATAAGAAATATCTTCAGAGCGATTCCAGGAAGAAAACCTTGGATGAATGCCTTAATAGTTTTTCTGTAGAATTATATGACTGCTTGTCAGTAAAAAGACAAAAGAATGCTTAGTGTAACTGCAAAAATCCCCAAAAAGTAATGTCATAAGACTCATAACATTATGACACACTGATAGTTCTTTTTCAAATAACTTTCACTTTGGCAATTCTCTGGGACAATCTGAATTTTATATTAGATAAAATTACAGATCCATGATATTTCATTTTCAATTACATCAGATATCTAAAAAAGCTTCATCAAATGAAGTGACTAATAAATTTAATTTTTTCAATAATTCATTTTCAAGTTTCCTATTTCTGATTTAAGATTACAATACATTCTCTAATTGATGTAGCATAAGAAAACACATTCTTAGCCACAATATTTGAAATAATCCTTCAATTCCTGGTTATAATGAATTCAGGCCCTATTTTTTCCAGAATTCCAATGGTATAAGGTCTGATGATTGATACAATGCTGATAATTATTTTTTTATTATACTTCTATTAGATTAAGCACTTTGTTACTATGAAAGATTTTAAACAAACAAAGCATGGTTTAGCCATAAGAGCAGTCTAGGTCTCAATATTAAGTGTTTTGAGATATTTATGGAAAACGCAAGGACAGGAGTGGGGATAAAATATCAAAAATTTGTTTCTTTTAATATAAGGATTTCATAATATTGCTCTACATCATAACTATAAAGAAAAATATTGCAGAAGATGTTTTATAATTTAGACTCTTAATCAGAACTAATTTTTATCTCACTGTAAATTGTCATTCAAAGAATTTGAAGGATTAATAGGATATTTATGTTCTAGATATATGCACGAAGAATGACAAGCAATTACTACCTTGTTTTTCACCAAGTACTTTTATTAAGCAAGGGCATTATATCATCTTTTTAATCAAAGATATCAATAAGATGTGCATTTTTAATACTTCAAAGTTCAAACTTCCTTCCAATTTAGCTAATATCTTTAATATATGGTTAGAAGTTTTGTTCTATGCCACAGTCACCAACAAGATGTACAACCATAATGTAGAAACTGCTCCAAGAACTGCCATTTCAAGGATACATTACTGGTACTAGTAGTGTTGTTTTTTACTCTCATTTGTACTAATACACTCATTTTCATTAGTTTGTTGCAAACATCTAATAAAAAGAATAAGAAAACACACCAGTTATCTATATAAGACCAATTAAAAAAAATACAAAAAAGCCTCGAGACCAGTCAACTGGAGAATCTCATGCCAAAGACCTTCTTTTGCCTTGACCAGTCTCACCAAAGACCCAAGGAGGCTGCATGTAGCCCAATCAATCTCATTGATACTACCCGTTTATCTTATAGTTCTTTGGATAAGTTTTTGGAATATTAAAGGAAATAGATCAGTTGGTTCGCTAGCTAACTTTAGTAGGCTTCATGGGGCTAGCAATTGTTCGAGAGGGAATTGGCCCCTTGAACTGAATGTTTTGTTGAGCTCCAATAAAGGGTCATTTTTAATACTTGTCTGACAAATTAATACATTTTAGTTGGAAAAAATATTCATAATATCCATGCTTAGTGAACCAATAGATTAATCAGGTATAGTTGGGACATTACAACTTGTTATTTTTGGTATAATAATCACACTGGCTAGCGCAAATCAGTTTGTTGACCATATGTGATTCACCGTGTTTTCAATGGTATTTAGCAAATCCTTCTCTATTATACTTTGAAGTGAAACAGTGTTATTTACAAGAATTTAAATGTCAACTTGATATTGATTTCAGTAATCTATCATACCAGTTTGATCCCCATACATAGGAAGGTACACTTACCTAAATGAATAAAACAACAAAAATCAAAATGAATTATATTTTTGCACTAAGATTGAGTTACATTTTCTGATATCATTATTTAGTTGGACCAGTAAATACAGGTGGAATTGGTTTGCAATTTCATCATTTCATGTATCAGTACTGTATCAGTCAGGGCTCAGACCAGTATTGTACAGGTCCATACTGTCATTTCGAGTGCTGCTACACCAGTACATTCTGAGTTTCCAAAAAAGCCCAAAATGGGATGGAAAAACAGAAAAAAGAAGAAATTGCTCAATACATAGTCTGTAGACTTTGTACCACCATGTATTGGTTGGGTACATGCCCTGTATAGCTCGGTATAGATCCAGTATCGAACTTACCACCTAGTTTACCTTGGTTTATGTACTGGTAACCTTTCGGACTGGTAAATACCATCCATACTGAACCGTAACATGAATCAGTTATGTGTTCTGTTATAAAATTATCCACTTATATTTGGTTTCTACCAATTTTGGTTAAAAGCTAACTTAATGACACAATATACCTGGAGCGATACCAAAGAAGAACAAAAAGAGAAAAAACAAAGAACATCAAGAAAAGGAGAAGAGGAGGCTCAATGACTTCGACTAAGTTGAATGGTATGCCATTGTCTGTGTTGTATCGTTTAACTTTTCAATAGTTCCTATATATACATATATATATGTACATATATATATACATATATATATATATATATGTACGTATATATGTACATATATATATATGTATAGAATATATGTATATGTATATATATATATATTTACATATACATACATATATGTATATACACATACAACACACACACACACACACACACACACACACACACACACACACACACACACACACACACACATATGATTGGTACCAGCTGCCAAACCAGTCTTGTGCCTAAGATTCTACATTCATGTATAAGTACTTTTCTATATTGGAGACTTGGAAAAAATATCAATAATTTATCCTACAAATTTTATGATGTCTTCAGTAAAGGCACTTTATCCACCCAAAAATCCCCTTTGGCCATCATTTAGACCGACCCAACCACCCTAGAAACATAGGTAGTCAGAAGTTTACTTTTTTAAATCAAGTAATGAGCTATGTACCATACTATATCATAGTGCATGTTTGCTATGGGACAATTCGTGTGCTCTTTTATAGCTCAAACTAAACAATGTTGATCAAGCTTCTTACTTCTTGTCCTCATTTCTTCCCACCCTATGCAACAGCTATAACCCTCTTGTTTGTGAGAATTCTACACCATTTAATAATTGAAAACACCTCATTCCTTGTTAGAATACCTACTAAGGCAAGGTGTGGCTTTCAGCCTCCATGAATACTAAAATCCAGAGGTTTCATCGAAAATGGCACATAAAACAAATAAAAGAGACCAGAAGTCAACATTTTTCTTTTATACAGTACTTTTTTCTAGCATAAAATGAGAGGAAGTTCTCTTGTTCATTTGTTCAAAATTTTGAAGGGAGTAGGTAAAATTGGTTAGATCTATGATCTATCCATTCAAATTATAGCAATAGTTGAGATTTGAAATATAAAATTGAAAAATATTTGGACATTTTTTAGTGTTGTCATGATGTGCACTACCTGCCAGCATGGTATGTACCATGCTCACAGTTACTAGTTCAACCCCATGTTAAAGAAAATCCATGGATGCAACAAAGCTATTGGAACTAAGAATATGTTACTTTCTCTTTGATCTAGATTGGGCTCAAACACAAACTTACAGATTACATAAAACAATGCAAAAGAACTAGTTCATCTCCTTATGTTTTTTCTATAATATTTCACACTCTAAGAGTCATCTGATGGTCTAACATATAATCAATCTTATAGGTAATCCTAACTTATTACCGAACATGTTTTATGTAAAAGTTTTAAGAAGACTAAATGAATCTATAAGTGAAATCAAGTTCATTATTACTTGCAATAAAAATATTTTGAGCCTGCAACAATGTCTTGTCAACAATTTGGTACAAGCATGAAATATATAGAAAAGAAAGCATAATCCAAAGATGATAAAGGAAACTTTAATTAAACAATTCACGCATAATTAGAAACAAAATAATGAATAGTCGTAATAAAGTAGAACCTGAGATATTGTATAAAACTTACTCTTCAATTATGGGCTTCAAAAATGGAACCACCTTTTCTATTCCCTCAATGTTAGCAAGAGATTGTACAAATGCGATTGGTATCATAAAGAAGAATGTAAGAAAGAAGACGGCAACTGCTACAATCAACCTTCTGACTGTGAGGGAAACAAATGGAATAGCCAAATTCTGCCAATATACATCACGAGGTTCTGGAGCCCACTCAGTCAACCATAAAGTTGGGTTTTGAGTTTGTTGTGTTTGAGCACATACGGCTGCTCCCCACCGTGTTCGAAAGGAAACAAATGCAGCTGGCATGATGGATTTCGAATTATTTTTTATCATTTCACGTTCTGTAGCCTCCTAAAATATATTTATCCACACAAGAGCATACTTATTTTAGCATGAAAAATATTTCTTCCAAAAGAAAAGTGAAACTAGAAAAGTGAACAACAAGAGTCCAATAAGAATTTCATATACCATCAGAAATAGGAATTCATGACATGATACAAAAAAACATGTAAAAAACTAATGCAGTTATGCGAAATCAACGCTAGCAATGCTGACCATTAGGCTACATTTATTAGGCATACGCAAGAGTGCTTTACAGGAATTTCATATGGACTATGAATGTCATCACATGTCTAAAATCGAAATAGCTTTAGTGTTCAAGGACCTGATATAGTTGTCTCATCAGACAATTAGAAGAAAGAAAAAAAAGCTAATAAAAAGTTATGGATGATGTAAAATGAAACAGGTGATGATAGAGGTGAAAATATATGGGAAAAAATGGTCTGATCAATATTATATAATACATGGATGTCCATGGACATATATTCAGACTTGCAAACTTGTTCTTTTCTGACCAATAAGAGTACGAAAGAATAACTGATAGTTCAAGGACAATTATGATATTAACTGACTTCCACCATCTTTGCAAGTCGTAAATCAAAATCTTGGAGCATATACTTTTCTCACAATCGCAACCAATTTCTGAAAGAAAAAGGTTTTGGCTGCATTCAGATTCTCCAAGTCACTTGTTAGGATTTACTCAGAATATGGCTACTGCATGGTTGAAAATTATTCTTGATTCTATGAGGTGACTATGTAGTTGTGAAATGAACCTCTCGTAGATTGGAATATACAAAGATGTTTTGACATAGAAAAGTGTAACTCAGTGCAATATTAACCAAGGATTGTTGTTTTGCAGGATGAAGAAGACATGCCAATATCTTTTTCACATGGTATGGCACTATGTTGTGCAAGTTGTCATGCCCTTGTGCTGATAGGCACAAGCCAATTATTGGCCTATGAATGCATCAACATTGTTGACAACTTGACATTACTACACAAAATTAAAGAGAGATATTGGTTTTGCACCGCTAATGTCATCCCATGTCAACTGGCACAGCAAACCTTGTTCTCAACATCACACCTAAATTTTACTACTATTAAGAAAGTATCATCAATACCTTTTTAAAATTAAAACAGCACATGTTATTTAAGTTTTAAACTAAAAGCATAAATGAAATGACATGGAAAATTAAGGCTAGCCATGATCAACATTCTAGATCTATTGATTGTTAGTCAGTGACAATAATGCATTTACTAGATGTTCATTTGAAACATATTTAATTAATCTTCCAAAATTTTGATTTTAAACTTAGATAATACCATAATCAAACCTAAAGAATGACAGAGAGTAACTCCCAAAAGTCACGAGCAACTCGACCTTTTTAAATGTATATAAGTTTGTATGCACTATACAGTTCCAATATCTTACAAAAAAAACTAAAATGTTTTCATTGAATAAAATGATTAATTGCTGTGGTTAAAATTGGAATTGACTATTACACAAAGTATGAGTAAGTAGCACATACTTTTTCAGAGAGCTCATCAATCTTAGATGTGTAAAATTCAATAGCATCCACCTCATCACCACAAAGTCCAAGAAATCCAGTCTGTTAAAACAAAGAAATCCATCATAACATGATTTTTTGAGAGGAATGACAAAAGACATCACAAAAAAGATTAAAAAAATTTTATCACAAAACAAAGTTAAGGTACAGAGTTCAAAGTAACCTTTCGAGTAGGTCTTTTAGATGGATCCCTATCATATTTTAATTGATAGTAATCATGCCAATTCTGCATCTGCTTCTTTGTTTTGACCAGCTTAGCAAGTTTGTTTGCATTACAAACAACCTACAAAACATTTGCAAACCAAAAATTGTGAGAATGCAGATGTTGAACCTACAATTAAAAACATGCACTCTCCTCATGAATCTGAAGTCAATGGTTATGATATATTTCAAGGTTCACCATACCGTAATGTATTGCTCGGTATAGACAGTACATGCCGGTCCAATAGAAGATTGGTACAGGCAGTCCATATCGATATATTGGTATATCCCAGTATACCATATGTCAGTACGTCAATACGGCTCAGTTTATATCATATCGATAGCCAGTCGGTATACCGATATAGACTGATAAGGCGAACCTTGATTTATTCGATAGCCTATTTATGACTTTTCTAAAAAGAATTTCTTTCAAGGAAAATTTACAACAGAGTTCATTTTACAACTGAGTATTTTACAAAAATGAAGAGAAAATACCAATAGAGAAAAAGAAAAACTAAACTACTTGAATATAAGAAATAATATCATATGGCTGTATGGCCCACTATTACTGTATACATTCATGGATTAATTACAAAAAAAAATTATATCACCTAGATTTGAAATCTAATCATTCCAGGCAGACTGCAATCAAAACAGTGATCAATCAGTATGAAGTAGGGGCATATTCTAAAACACTGGGCATATAGATTTGCCTGCATTTTGATAATCCCCCAATCCCTCTATGGTTGAAACATGAAAGTTTTTATAATACTAATTAATGATTTTTGTATCATATAAAAGGGATATAGCCTCTAAATGTTATCTTGTAAAAGAGATACTTGTTACTCGTAACTAAAAGAAAAAAAAAAAGAAGACTCCTATGATAGGAACTTCTGGCAAACTTATAATGCAGTGAGATGAATACTTAGATCAAACTTTTCCCACAAGAGAGAGGACCACCCAAAATTGGGCAGTCCACATGCCAGTTCATGCTTAGACCAGTACAAACAAGGGAGCAGAATTTGCAATCCATGCCTTCAATTACACAGATGCGATCCCATCATTTCTTCAAGTTTTTATATTCTTCCCTTGTGTGATTGTAAAAGGAATTCATGATTTCTCACTATATCAGTAAGATCTCATTGAATCATCCTGGTGCATATCACCTTCACCATCACTCACCACCATCCTATATCTATCTATCTATCCATCTACATGTACACTGGAATTGAAAGACTTCATCATGGTTAAAAATGGAAGTACATGTATCAGACCTCGTTATTGGAAGGTATGCTGATGTAATAATCAACATCATCAAAATCAGATACTCCTTTATACCTCCCTTACTCTTTCATTGACGATCAACCTAACACAAATAGGTAGTGAAACCATACAGGCCTAATGTTTTGTTGATTTGTTACTCAACATTACTCTAGAGCATCATAACAAGGATTCAGATGAAGAGTAAATAAATATCCTCGGAGTAGTTTTACATGAGAACTCATGAATAGAGCATGCATAGTTACGCACTTAAGCATATTATTAAGATCACATTCAACATACTATCAGTCAGTCATTGAACATTAAAATTACAAATTAATCTTATGAAAATAAGTCCTTTTAAACTGTCATAAAGCTACATAGCATGAGATCAACAGAAGGAGAAAAACCTGATGAGTTAAATAGTGATCACGATGATTGACAAGGAAAAAATGTTCAACAAGCTCACTGACTGATTCATCGGGATCAGGTGGCACATTCCTAACAAGGACCTGAAATAAATAAAAAACATGTGTTAGTTTGACACAAGTCAACAGATATAGGACAGTCAACAAGCGTATTAGTCTGATCATCCCAATTTTATTAGTAATCACTGTCTATAATCTGTAAGTCAAGATGATGTCCGTGCTTGCATATACATCATTACATACATAAATACTATGACCTTTTCTGTGAAGGAACCTGTCTAGATAAGCATGTATGATCTAAAATATGAAACCTTCCCATTAAGCCAATTAGTTGGTGTAAAAGATCACTGACAAATGCAGCATGTCCATCATCATCAAATCCTGTATTCCTCTATTATAAGATCATTGAGGAATGCAGCAAGTCCATCTTCAAATTACACCCGAGTTCCTCCATTATATGGATATTTTAAATTATATCATCACTAACGAGTAACAACACTGATAAAATAAAGGATATGTGTTCCGGTCCTAGACTCGATGCCTGTCCTGATCAAACTGATTCAATAATAGAAGTACTGGTACCAACTGAAATATGTAGGGACCTCACAAACAGCCAACTGGACAAAAGTAGATCTAGGTTTTGGAGAAAGAGGGACTGGTGGCTATCCGGACTCTGGGTGATGTTGTGGTGGGAGAGAGGGGGTAGAGGACAAAACTGAGAGAAACAGAGAGGGGGCCCTTGTGGTATCACAAAGTAGAGGTATGATTAGCCATCAAGGCTTAAAGACTTGAGGTGGATGTTTTAGATATTTAGTTTGACTAAAACTAGGTAAAATCCCATAATATTAGTTGGTTCCAACCATGGATTAAAATCTCAGTCTAATACCCATACCAATCAATAGCTAGAGTGGCACGATATCAGTATTGATCGGTAGTCGTATCCGAACTGCACCAACACTCGGTACGAGTAAATAAAGATGGGAATGGACAAAAGAGAAGATGAGATAGAAGAGGGGAGGAGGTGCCAATGTGTACTGGTAGGAGGAGGCTGGTGACACAAAAAAGGAGGAGAAGACAACAGCAATGTAAAAGAGGTGGTGGGGGAGGAGAAGAAAAGGCATAGGCGATGGCAGAGAAGGAAGAGGAAAAAGAAGCAGCAATGGAAGATGAGAAAGACAAGAGAAAGAAAAATAAAAACAATTGCCAATAGCTGTTAGCAGATTATAAAAACAGAGAAAAAAATGACCCACTAATCATACCACACACACTTATCACTTGGTATAGCTCTCTATCAATCAGCTTACCATCTGATAAACCTGACACAATGAGCTTCCTGGGACAATATGAACAGTTCCGAATTCCACCTGATCTGTGTATCATTCAGCCATTAAATTAGTATATATCGATCCATACCAACCAGTACAACCAAAATTAAAATCCATGGTTTCAACTTTAAATAAAACCCAAACAAAATGTTGGGAAACAATTAGTATCATCATGTCTTCCCTTTAATGTTTAAGTATCCAATTTAGAACAAAAGAGGGTCCAATTACCAGTCTATGGAAAGAGAGCTCGGTGGAACAACATTAATGGCTTGTTGGACCTTTTTTGCCGACTCTCATGTCTGTTCTCCTCAAACTGCAAGCTTTTTCTTCTAATCAGCATTCTGACATCCCATGCTTCTTGCCCTTTCACTAAGACCCTATTGCCATCTATAATGTTAGTTGAAGCATCGCATTCTGACCTTTAAATTGTTTTATATTACTTGCTTTGGAATTATGCTGCCAGGAATACAAAAGAGACTCACCTACACTTTGGCAATCCCTATCTACCTACCAACCATGGCAACTGGTTTGATCAATAAGAGGTCATGAGATACAATGCCTACAGAATAGTTATATACCTTGAGATTGTATGACATTGTATTGTTCAAGTTATTTTGTACTAAAATGACAAGGAAAGATCAATGTAGCAACCCTTAACAATTGGGTTTTCATGTTTTGTTGTTGTTGCCATTATTATTATTGTTGTTTTAAACTTTTAAATTCTTCTATTCTAATAACTGTTTCCTGAAAAAAACTACTAAATTTAAGGATAACAATCAATTCCAGAAGTTACCAATAAAAAAAACAAAACAAAACAAGTAATCATTATTTGGATATAAAAATTAACAAGGTACAATTTGAATCTTGTATATTTTTCCTAACCATATAAAATGCAAGATATCATGAACCCCGATGATTATTCAATTCTCAGATAGAAAATCATGAAGATGCAAAAAAAAAAAAGGATCATGTCCTTTGCAATCATTTAGGAAATTCAGATTGCAACAAGCACGAACATTAGAAAATCAAACTATTTCAAATTCCAATAAATTAGAAGATATTAGCAGTTTTCTCCAGGTTTACAAATATGACATCACAAGAATTTGGTAAAATTTCTTTCAATGCCAGTTTGACAAGATCAAAGAAAGCTTACTGTAAATTGATCAGGACGGCGTTTCTCAGATGCAAGAAAATGCAGCCTCATTGATGCAACAATTTCATATTCCTTAAGAAGCACATAGCATGTCCAAAATGTAAAGGCATATGCCACAACCAAATGGGCCCAGAACCTACAAACATAAAAAAGCAACTAATGCTCATGAACACAGAGAACCTACAACAAGAACTAACATATTCAACTAGCAAAACAATTGTTTTTGTATTATTAACAAGGAATGGAAAGACGGTGAGAAAGATTTCAAGCCTAGAGAAAATTAAATAATGCATTAGGTCTAAAGCAGCACCGATGCTAATGTTCATTAAATAAATTTACCAGCAAAGATGAACTCCAATTGAACAGGTAACATAAATAATTCTAGGTTCAAACATGACAGTAACAACTCATCTAAATATCTAGTATTAAACTTATAACCCACAAATATACTAAAGATCCGATAAGCCAAACACATTTTCCAGTAAAATTGTCCATGAACTCTTCAACAAGGAACAATTTTGTTTCTCAAATGCTCCACTTTCATTTGTGCAATCAGAGTAATCTTAAGGTTTCCAACTTCCCGTTACATATGTATCTCATTCAGTTGTTAAGCATCTAATGCTGAGTCGGACTACCACCTATACGTCAATATTCAGACAAACTTTTCCCCATTTATTATAATTGATCTGTGTTTAGATGCTATTTATTTCTCTACACACTAATAAATGTTATATTTGTCTTGGTTTAACTTTTGGTGACTTAGTTTAAATTTTTAGGGAAAAAAAAAAGGCTTGTTTCAAATTTCAAACACATGCAAAGAAGAACAGTCATATTGTCATATGGACTTTAACGAAAACAAAAAAATTATCGAAAAATCAATCTCACGGGTAAAGAAGGTTTGAAAGCAAAGCACCATATAGCAGCATCAGAAACCCAGAGCCAATATATCATACTGATACTGTATGAATATATAGATAAGATCATCCTCAGAAAGTTCAATTCCTATGCCAAAACAGGTGAATAAGTGGCCATAATATCAATCATCTGGATAACTAATGGTACTTTGAGCATACCGTCTAGTTCGGATAGGTTTTGGCTGATCTGACAAGGGACTGACACATGGACTGGTCCAGTCCAAGATAAGTTGTCTTTCCCAGTGAGCTCATTGTGTGGAAGTTAACTGGCGGTAAAGTAACTGATACCAATGGTTACTGGGTAGTAAGCCTACTGCCTGGTACTAGTATCACTTTATTTTATTTATGACTGCTGTCGCAGCTGTCAATATTTTTTTATACTTCTCTCTCTCCCATTGTTGATCCATCTCTTTGTATCTCCAACTCTTACTCTTTTTCCCCCCTCCGCTTGTTTCCCCTCTTCCCTCCACCCTCCTCTTCATACCAAAACTTTAAACCTTAGCCAAACTGGTTAAGTCTAAAGTGAAGTGCCATTTTTCTTTTCATTTCCATTAAAAGCTTATGTCAATGGCTTTAAGGCTCCTTCCTTTAAGGCAGAGATATTACAGAAATCAATAGACCAATAGCAATGAACCAAAAACCAAATGGTGATGCTTGATCTGTCTAATTACTATCTACATGCTGGATCTTCATAAGCTTGATCTCAAAAAAGTTCGAAATTTCAGAAATTTACAACAAGCATTACGTGAAGGCTAATAAACAGAAATTACAAATTAATCAAACCAGTAAGCAGTCTAATTATAAAATTCTTACAGCTTACCTTTGTGAACCTGAAGGAATATTTGAAATAGAAAGCTTGTCTATGTCACTGTACTCCACTTTTGAATTTTCCAAAGTACCACTATTCGTCCAGTTGACCGGCACCAAGATTGCAAAGGAGAGGATTGCCATTGGAACAAAGAGCTTGAGTCTAGTAAGAAAAAGAACAAATATACATCACTAAAGTATAAATTTAAAAACATCAATCGATACTTGTTATGGAACAAAATTAAACAACTAATACCATTGGTTCAAGGTTACCATTTAATGGAGAACTATTAACGATAAACACAATCTAATGCATGACGCATACATTTGTTCTGTGAGACGATCTGCAGCATCCAAGCTAGACTGTTGCACCTTGAAAATATGTACATGCTTCAAAAGAACAAGTTGAAAAATTACAGAGAACTCTTTTTTTTTTCCCTTTATCTCATCTGAAAGCAAACTTGACTTTACCAATTGGATTAAGAGCCTTATGAAAATGAACATCCTAATGTCTTGCCAATAAGAGGAATATAAATCCCACTTGATCAAAAATTGCATATTGTTGTCTCGGGATGCTAACAAACATAAGCAAACTATTACTTGAAGCTTCAGCATCTTTAACTACCATGTTGGATAATCACCTAAATCCTAAAAGAATAAAGTTCAAAAACTGAGAGTGAAGAGATAGTGTTTGATATGAACATACAGTCCCATCCTATAAATTAATTCTAAGTAAAACCATTTATTGCTTCTCTGGATTTACCAGTGCTTGTCAAAAGATAGTTTGTTCAGGTTCTGCATTGCCCTCTTCAACAAAAGTTGTGACTATAGTAAATGTGCACAAGAGAAAGAAGCAGAATGATTAATGAATTGAGCTTCAGAGACATTGGTAGAATACCCAATCAAGTATATCCTCAAGTAAACAGCAGAATCAAGTCCTGCATGGTCTATCAGCTCAGGTTCTGGCATTCTGAGAGCAGCTGGCATCCATTCCAGAAATCTCAAATATGACCTCAAATTTAAGTTCACAAACTTGTGTACAAACGTCCCTGAGCGTGTTGGACTGCCTCTCACACCTTTGAGATACCATTTTGGAAAATAAACTCTGTCGTTTATTGGTTGTAGTCTTAGGACAGCAAATGCTATTAAGAATGCAACGGCGCTTAATATGTTGATGGCTGCAGCAAGCCCTATGTCAGTAAGCGTAGCCATAACTGCCTCTTATAACATAAAAGTTTTCCAAATGTTGACCCTGCACAAAAGCAGGCATATAAGAGAATAATAAAGCTGAACACAAAACAATTGAAAAAAGAAAAACGAATTAATAGAGCCGATACAAATAATCTAGGGAAACAAAATGCAATTATCACATAGATCTTCCACATTTACAAGAAAGTTACCATTTTGAGGTGCATCAAGAATACAAAACCAAAATTTCTAAAACTGACATGGTAAGTTAGCAAAATTTGGAGCAGCATAATTGTCAGAGACAATGAAACTTATTTGCATTGGTATACTGGTAAAGTAAACATAAAAATAGTGCATTTTGCGACCAAGGAGCCTAGAGAACAAATGAAGCAGATATCGAGCCATCATCACCACCATCAGACGTTCAGATTTACTTTTCAATGTTCTGGGAACATCTCAAGCATCTTATGATCCATTTTTGCTAAGTTTGTGAAGCTAAAATTGCAAAATCGCGGAAGCAAGTAGGTGATTTGAGGGCCAAGCAAAACCACGTCTGGTTGTCATATCAACTTTTAGAGCACTAACGGTTGATCATGCACTTGACAAGATGCAGTAAAGGGAAGCACAAACAAATTGACATGACATGTAGTTCGTTTATCTAGTCCCTAAATTGGTCGATCAAAGCCCTATGGCTTTTTGGATTAGATTTAGCTTTTGCATCATTATTAGGATTTTCACTCAACTCCTGCCTTATTTCTAGGAGACTTTGGAGGTAATTTCAACTTCTAAGAAAGATAAACTTAGAAGACCAAAGTTTGGGGGTGTATTAAGAAGAGGAAATTTGCAGAGCCAAAAAGAACACAACGGACTAGGACTGATCAAAATCCAAAAAATGAGAAAATCAATTTTTGCCTCGCCCTTCAAGGAAGGATAAGAGAGAAAAAGAGAATCTGATAAAAAAGAAAACAAAACGAGAGCAGACTCAAATGGCTACGAATTACCTTTGGAGAAGCAGCAGGAACACCAACCAACCAAAGCAGCAAGCGATCAGTGTCCAATCCGATGAAAGAACATAGAAAGTCTTGATATTGGGTCGATTCCTGGGTCACAGGGTAAGGAAGAAAGCGGAGTAGGCTGGAATATGGATAGAGAGAGAGAGAGAGAGAGAGAGAGAGAGAGCAGAGCTGTCAGAGATCCAATGATCGGATTATCACTAAACAAAACAGAGGACATGTGTAAAGAAATGCTTCACTATTATATCAGTTAAAAGAAGTAAAACCCAAACTGGGCTGCGTAAATAAATGAATGCAGATGAACGTGGAGTAGATTAGATTGAACGCCGAAGCTTTGGGATGTAGATGAATGGACGGCGAAAAGGCAGCAGATCACTGCAGGACATATCATTATTCCTGCACACCGTTCACAGCGTTGAATGCCACCATGTGATTTGGTTATATCGGGGGAAGAGTACTCCCGAGTAGATTCAGCAATAACATGCATGTTTTCAAGAAATTGATATTAATAGCACGAGGAATGGATCAATCTGTGGCGATAATTATGGGAGAAGACAGAACAGTAATAGAAGCGAGTGAAGGTTGGCTAATCATACCAAAGCGCAGGCACTGTGCTGCCTGTCGGCGACGACAGCGTAGAAAGCCACTCCAAAGCTAGTGGGTAAAGGAAGACATTTTTGGTCTCTGTGGGTGGGTGGGTAGATGCCGTCATGTGAGCGTCCGCCATCCTCTCTCTCTCTCTCTCGCTTTCGCGTCGTGCTGCTTCTGTCGTCGTCTTCTCGCGCTCTATCATACGCATGCGTCTTTTCTTTGAGACGGGAGGGGTAAGGTGAAGTAAGCCTGACAGCGAAGTCTGTCCACAAATGCGGAGGACCCCACCGCCGAAACTGCATTGTATTTGTGGTGCGTGTATCAATCAGCACTGCAACATCAGATGCTGCAGTCTCCTCCTCCTCCTTCATTCACATGTGTGGAAAATCCTCAGCCACACAAAAAAAAAAAAGAGAAAGAATTTTGAATGCTTCGTTATAATATCACTCCATATTTAAATAAACCGTGAAGCTCATCTTCCATGTGATGTGTCGAGATCTACCGCCCACTTCTATACTCGACAATCGTTTTCATTGGATTGATTAAGCCCTTTCAAGCTGTAAATGTCATCACACGTCGAAACCCTAATGTTATATTCTAAAGTTGCCTACATCGCTATCCTTACGTGTTAGCCTCGATCTACGTCAAATTTAAGTCGATGCTGCTAATCGAGCAACCAACTCGCCCGCATGTCAAATTCATTCGCATTTGTTAATTTTAATTTTGAATATCGATCTGTAATTGCTTCGAGATTAGGAAAAAAGTTTGATTCTGATTTAAACGAGGGCTAAATTGATCCATGACCAAAGAAAGATCCAATGAGTTTAATTCTTATTTATGGAGTTAAGAAAACAAAAAAATCAAATCAAAAATTAAAAATTAAAAAATTAAAAATAAAATCAGTAATCTTATCAAAAATATGCTAAAACTAACTTGGAAGGACATTATTATATACCGAATTATTTGAATGAAACCTCAATTCCATTTCCCAATCTTAATCTTTCATCCGAGTACAATGAAAGTCTTCTCGAAATTTATGTTGGAACTCAAGGAATCTAATTGTTATTTTATCTCATCATGAGATGCAGCAAAAATCAGTCGCAAGAATATGTTGCATTCGAGAAGGGAAAACTCAAATTTTCCCTTTCCTTTACTCCATCGACTTTGCTTAACTTTTGATCAGTTCTCTTACCATTTTAAACATAATTTCACTTGACCAATCGATTGAATGTTTTAGCCATTTTTGAATTTATTGGTCAGGTGCATTTTATAATATTTTTAAATGTACATTAAAAGTTAAATGCATATTTTAAATATAAATAGATATTTGATAATTTTTTAGACTTGGATGTTATATTGCAAATGCTCTTATGCTATAGCATGAGCAGAATGCTAATGTAGTTTTTCAAAATTTTAAAATATCGTATGATATTATCTAAGATCATAAAATTATAAATATGACTAGGTGAAAAACCAACATGTTTTATGTTTTTTATAAGATAATTTTTTATTTATTTTATATTTATGTATATAATTATACATAAATAAATGACTCCATGGTGATGCTAAAGAACTGACTTGTATAATAAGATAATCTTATCATGACCATAACTTATGATCGAGATTTGTTATCGGGATAGGTTCTCTTAATATTTAGATCTTGGATAACTAGGAGAATCATTTATGTAGCCTAATAAATTATATATTAGTGAATTGTACTTGCTAATAGATATAAGTCTTATAGGTTGAGATAAACTTTAGGAGATAATAATTTGAGTAGAGGAAAAAGATAAAGAAGATATTGTGATATAATAAGAAAAATCTAAAATTAACCGGTGATCTAGTTTGGATGCACAGATGGTAGAGATCTAATCTCTTGGAGGAGATCATATATGAAAAATACATAGAGGAGGATATGATCTAAGATGTGTAAACGAGAACAATATCTTTCCTCGTCTCTTGAGTCATTCTCTCGATCATGAGTAATGATGATGAGTCAATAGGAAGGTGGAAGGCAATGGACTATTATCGAAGGATCGATCGTGGATTCAAGACACTAATGAGTTTGACGATTAACGAGAAGTGGATAAGAAAAGATGTCGAGTAGTAGGCATCGATGCAGAGGTAGCAGAGGGAATACATGCAAGCATAATTGAATAGTGAAAGAGGATTCTTGGAGAAGCGCATTGATCACAAGATGAGGATAATAAGATCAGCAAAGTAGAGTAGATTTGTTGTAGAGCAAATCATATTAGGAGATCGATAGGGAGGAGTCACACGTCTTCATCTTCTATGTAATGCCAAAATCCAAAAACAAAAAATAGAAATCAAGAGTTATAAAGAAGAATTAAAAAAAATATTATGAAAGGGATAATATCATGTATTTATACAAATTTTCAAGGAGAGAATTTTCTCAATCATATAATAAAATCATACATTCAAATATGTAAAAAAAATAAAATTATTTTTCATATTAATCTCTATCATATTTTTATATCAATTAGATTCATAATTAAATAGCACAATTAGCTTGAATAACTGTAACATGTCGGACAGGAATAATTACAAATAATAGGGTGCTTGTAGATGGAGTTAGATTGATCTGTGCCCAATTGGTAAAAGTAATCAACTCAATCCGTGTAGCCAATGTACCATTATGAGTGAGATAAGAGAGGCGTGCGATAGATTGGCATAATAATGGTTTCCAACTTCGGGTGCAGGCGAATTAAATTCACGAGTATCAGCTAGTGAGAAGAATGGGTTGCCTCTGAGTCCTACAAACTGTATCGTCGATCAATCAATCATACATAAATCGACCAACATCCCAGCATAAGTTCTTCCGATGCTGAGGCTCTTGCAAGTTGGAGGATCTGTATATTTAGTTGCCATATAATCTCAGACCAACTGGGAATTTTAGTTAGTATTGTGTGCACTAAATATCACCGATTTGCCAATAATATATTAGTATTTGCAATGCCGACGACGTCCTTTGACCGGATAATATGAGGCCAGCATGGCTTTTCCGTCCCGTAATCGTTCGACTCGGGAACAATTACCACCTGCTTCGCGGGTGCCTCGAGCGTCACTTGCCTTTCACTTTCTCATCATGCTTGTGTCACTGTTTGGTCAGACACTGACACTGTCTAACCCTCCTCGGCTCCACCGTTGCTTCCACCATTTTTGTTTTTTTTGGGTCTGGAAATGTATCACCTTGCCCGGTGAGACACATTTTGGTAATTGTTGATGTAAACAACTTTATGTCGTGGTCTCGGGACCGACGTGACTTGGTCGGGGGTCCGAATGACGGGGATCTCGCATGGTGTCCCTCGAGATCTCTTAGTGGCCGATCACGACGGTTCGATCGGGATGTCGCGTCGGGAGGAAAGCTTTTGCCGTGGCACCGGGAAGAGGTGACCTCGTTCTCGCACCTGTACACAGGTCGGGTCGGAAGCTCGGCCCGACCCCTCCGATGATCAAGTCAGTGGATGCGGAGGGGATTTTTGTATGAAGAGGTGCCCCCATTCATTTAGAACTATGAGGGTATTTATAGGTAAGTTTAGTGTTACCTGATGTGCCCGCCTACAGGAGCAGGACTTTACCTCTGATGGCGTCTAACGTCGTCGTTGGCGTTGCGTGGAGAACCGAACTGCCGTAGGGTATGGGTGAGCCTCGGTCGTCGTCCTCCTCTGTCTCGGCCAAGCGTGTGGGGTCAGGCAACGATGAAGTCGTTGTCTGAGAGCGGGTGACGTCGGAGCACATCGAGTCAGTATTATTGCCCTCTTCCTCGGGCAGAGTGTCGTCCAGGCGTGACTGATATCGTGGCGCGTCATGTCGCCATTATTATCCTCATCAGTAATAGCAAGAAAAAGCCATGCCATCTTCTAATCATCAACGCCCTTAATTTGACTGTCAGTCTTTTCTACAAATACATAGCTCCATGTTTTATGAAAATGTTGTTATTTAGTTTAGTTTAAAGATCAATTATAAGTCCAAGAATTGTTGAGTAATACTCTACAATTTAAAGACTAGAAACCATCTCTTGAATTGTTCGAAATCATTGCGGATAGCTCTACTCTTTGCAGGATGATGGCTTGAGATTTATCATTAGAGATCATGATTGATTGACGATGTATGATTACGAGATATTAGTGTAAAATAATCTTTCAATCCGAAATCTTAGCTGTGAAAAGATATGTGCATTAGACATCAGATATGTTCCTCATGCGTTAACATCAGACTGCCACTACCGTGTCAAACAAACGGAAGGGGGTCAGTGGTACCGGCGGTGCTTTGTCTCCCCGACCCTGGTGGTCTACGTCCCTGTTGTGTCCTTCCCTTCCCTGCAACCTCAACTCTTTCCCATGCACCCTTCACCCGGTCAAAGCTTCTCCTGTTAAGTTCTTCTCGTCCGCCTGTCCCCACGCCACGCCTCTCCCCCCATCCCAAGGCTTCCGCACCAACGGTCTCATCTCCCTTTCACTCACCTTTCTTTTCCTTGTCCATCTCTCTCTCTCTCTCTCTCTCTCTATTTTTGTTCATCGTATTCTGTATTTTCCTTCTCTGTTTTTCTCCGGAACAAAACAGTTTGCTGGGCTTTATCCTCGGCCATTCCCAGTGTGCTCCAGTCATCCCTCAGGTATTAAAAATATGGAGGCAGCGGCTGACACAAGGACTATAAACATGGAATAAATGCGCCCGTCGCTCGAAAGCAGCCACAACAACAACAAGTGAATCTCTACTCTCTTCCATAATTACCATCGGTGGTCTTCCTGTTACTCCAGTCCCTTTTGTCTTCACCCGTCCGCCCTCTCTCGCACTCTGCTTCCCTCTCCCACAGATGCGGACCATCATGGCCAGAAGCCCCAGCGAGTCATTCTCCTTCTCTAAGAGGCACTTCCAGTGGATAGCTGGCAAGGGTGGTGACGACAAAAGGCAAGAAGGAGGGAAGGCGGAGGAGGAGACGTTTACTTTCTCCACCATCGCCTCGTCTTGCGATGATAATGCGCCGATGAAGGTAGAGGTAGCTCCGCCTCCCGCGAGGAAGAAGGGGCCGTCACCGTCCGCGGCAGCGGCGGCAGTCTCTAGGTTGCGGTCGGTGCTGGCAGCGGCAATCGCCGGCAGACATCGACCGGTGGGCATCGGGCCCCGCGTGACGGGCACGCTATTCGGGCACCGCCGCGGCCACGTCTACTTCGCATTCCAAGTCGATCCGCGCGCTTGCCCGGCGGTGCTGATCGAGCTCACCACGCCCACGAACACGCTGGTCAGGGAGATGGCCTCCGGGCTGGTGCGGATCGCGCTGGAGTGCGAGCGGCGGGCCGGCGGCGGAAAGAAGCTACTGGAGGAGCCACTGTGGCGTGCGTACTTCAACGGCAAGAAGTGCGGCTACGCGGTGCGCCGAGAGTGCGGCCCGGCGGAATGGAGGGTCTTGCGGGCGGTTGAGCCGGTGTCGACGGGCGCCGGCGTGCTCCCTGGCGACGGCGGAGCCTACGGGGAGATGATGTACATGAGGGCAAGGTTCGAGCGGGTGGTAGGTTCCAAGGACTCCGAGGCCTTCTACATGATGAATCCCGATAACAGCGCCGGCCCCGAGCTCAGCATATACCTGCTCAGAGTCTAAACAAGCTATTTCTTTCTCGGGAGGATCTTCTTGTCACTTCATTCATTGTCTTCCTCGATCTCCTTCTCACCTTCGTCTCCTACTAGTAATAATTAAGTCCTTTGTGGTTGCTCTCATCCTGGTCTGCTTATTTTCCTTCTCTTCTTCTGCTGGCAATGCTTCAGACCATATCGGTTACGTATTTTTATCGTATGCATGTATAGGCTTTGTAATTTCACGTTCTTGGAGAAGAGGCTCGACGTAATAGAAACTCTTCATTATTATTATTATTATGCTCATTCACAATGTAATTATTCCATTAACCCCTGTGACTATGATGTCTTCCTATCACTGTAGTGATCGTGCCTGTTGTTGTAACTCGAGCATCGCTTGCAATGGCCGAGTATGGAACGATGACGCAGTGGAACACGCTAAAACCGGGAGGTGCCTGCGAGTTGTCTTTTCTAGTAGCCCAGCCTCACATAACGGGTGCGGAAGTGACAGTGGGTGACCGAGAGGAGGTACCACTCTTCCCAGTGGATGATGCCGTGATGGAACTTGAAGTGATGTGCGTGCATATTGTTTAGGGTCCATAGCTCTCCTACAGGACGAGTCAGGAAAACATTCTGCTTTGCTCTTATCTTTTTCTTTAGATTAAAGCATGCTTGGCCATCGCGTGGCTACTCTCAGTATAATATTAATACCCTTAGGAGGATCGATCGGGAAACATTAGTGTTGTTGCTTGGGAATTGGAACTATCTAAGTGAGTCTGTGGTTCTCTCATAATTGATGAATCTGGCAACAGGAAGCTTTGAGTGATCTCAAGGAACAATGTTTAGCTTTTGGTAAATCCCAGAAGAGAGATCTTACAAGGTGGCTTTTCACTTTAATTTGTCTCGAGAGATCCTCTCCATCTTCGATCCTTTACTTTCTGGCTTGCTCCCAGACTTTGCCTTTAAATAATTCAGCTTTCAGGCTTAAGAAGGTCTCAATTGGCTCTTGGTGGGGAGAGAATACCAAGAACTACTACTAAATTTGATTCTGGTGCCGGAGCAGATCCAGGAACTGCCATATTTAGATGCACAACTGAAAGAAGATTAAGAAATAAGATCTATAAGGACAATAGAAAGATTGTGATGCAAATTAAAGGGAATGAAACCTTGATGATTAAGAATGGAAAGACCTCCGGATACAGGGACTACTCCAAGCTCTCTGGATCCGAAGCAATGGAATGTAGTTCTGCCACACAATTAGAACCATGCAACTTGTGTGCACCGCAAGCCCATTTCCCAAGGGAAGAGAAGACAGCAAGCACCAAAGAAACACTGCATCTGGGACCAGAGTCCTCGTTGCTTAAATCCTTAGGAGGGAGGCCCTAGACCCGGTCAAGGAAAGCGGAAAAGCGAAAGGCAAGGGGACACGATCTCTGTTGCTTTGGGAATTTGAGCTCTCGTTCAGGTTTGTCATCCCGAGGAGAGAGAGAGAGAGAGAGAGAGAGAGATTGCAGAGAGTGTTGGTGACAGCTGGGACATGGAAATTTTGGTCCGATTGCCGCATCGATCGCCGAGCCTCGGGGGGTGTGGGGGGAGGAAGTCCATGAGGCTCACCTCGTCGGCTGCTGTGGTTCAAAGCTAAAGAATAAAGAGGCTTGTGATGGGAACCCTTTTCAATCTTGGCATCATGAAACTCTATCATCGTCATTATTATCACGACAACCTTAGGATGGAGCTTCCTTAGGAAGGAGCTTTCGCCATTAATGGCCAAACGAGATCTTGTACTGCAGTGACTTGACTTGTTTGTTGCATCCACGGCAGCAGTGTGTCAGGATGGTGTAAGAACGATGGAGACGTTAACATGAGCATGCATGAACAACGGGATATCTGCTGAAATAAAATTCATACAAAACAATGTCGTCAAATACCTATTTTGTGAGCATTTACAAATAGGAGTCATTAATCGGCCCACCTCATACCATTTATTGTACCATCGATGAATCAGACGTCTCTCTACCTAGTGGAGCATAATAATGAATTGGCATTCTCTCGCCAATCCCTTCACCTACTGCACATTCAGTAGTTTCATACTCACAATCTCATCGCCATGTTTTTCTTTGTTAGTGTCGAAAATAATTCTTAATTTCATGTGACATTGATTTGATTCTTCATTCTAATCTTGCTTTCTTAGAAACAAACTCCACAGCAACAAGACAAAAAGGAAATGAATCAAATTCAAAGAGATTAGATGCAAATGCGTTCGTTCTTGGAGATGCCCTTCTCATCATCGTGTTGCTAGAAGGATTGATTACATGAGTGATTGCCCACTGAATTTAGTCATATCACTCAAACTCTTTAAGCTTGAACTTGTTACACGCGTAGATCTGATGCTTAGTGGAAGAGACGAGCCAAGTCAGCTCCATCAACCTCTGCTACGCAGATGAACAAAATGATGCATCATCATTGTGACACTGGACGAAGGGTCCTTTCCTAAAGCCATCACCGTATCCAAAAAGCAATAGAAAATGCACCAAAGTAAAACTATTATGCACATTTGAAGTATTTAAAATGGATAAGATTAAAATTAACTTATAAAAATTTAATAAATATATTATTATTAATTTCAGTTTAAATATTTCGATCAATAGTTTGGACCAAATAAAATTGATAGACCAATTAGCCTATCATGACATTGCATTGTGAGGGAGCTCAAGTAGGAAAGGACTACCCAGAGTAGGGGTGATTGTAATTCCCTTGATTAATCCATGTCGAAAGTGGATAAGATTAAGATTAACTTATAAGAGTTTGATGAGTATATTATTATTAACTTCAGCTTAAATATTTTGATCGATGATTTAGACCAGATGAAATTAATAGACTAGTTAGCTTATGCCCGATCATGACAAAAAATATAACTCATATATATAGAATTTCTTTAATAATCTAAAAATATTTTCATGAAAAAGGAGTCATGGAGGCAAACTACCACCGTTTCCAAATAATAAAATAAAAAAAACTAGCAGGAATGACTAACTTACCTCTTGTTGCAATACAATCTAGTTGTATGACGTGTGGGTTAGGTTCGGAGTTACTCGATATTTATATTTGGGTTCATGTTAGGCTGACGTGTTTAGAAGTTGGAGGATTCAAATCAAGATCCTATAAATAACTTAAATTTTAGGTGTAGATTTAAAATCAATTAATGTCCTTTTATGAGGACATACCTAACAAGACTTACAAAAACTATACCATGACATACCTAACAAGACTTGTATGATTCTTAAGTTAATTTGAATTCAAATGATTTAGTCAAGTACCGAATATAAAAAATGTAACTTATATTAAATAAAGTTCAATGATCAATAAATATCTTGGGGCTTTTTTTCATAGTGTATATGGGATTATTGAATCTAATATCATGGTTAATGTTCGAAATGGCTGCATACATCACTCGATCATAGGAGGATTATGGAGTCATGTGTCAAACTCAACGAATACAAGAAACATATCATTGAGTCAGCTTTCCATTGGTGTCACATAGCTTTAATCGAACCAACAATTAGATTTGGTTCGATTCAATCCTTAATGATTCGGTTGGGTTGAATTCAACACTCCTACTGTTAATTAACATTTCATTGATGATTTAGATGTGGATCCAGTTGGTCAAGTTCAATCCAATGATTTAGATACGAATTCAAGCACAAATCCGACATTTACATATATATATATATATATATATATATATATATATATATATATATACACATATAAATAAATAAATATATACATATATATTGTCCTAAGTTTTAATTTTCACATCCCTCACAAATGAGTTTGTTATACGCTCTAATCATGTTTAGAGTCGGAATCAGGTCGGGTTTACGGATGAGTCGATGCGGGCCACATCATCATATTTATATCCACTATCGGACCCGAACCCGGGCGACCTCTGTGCCCACGGCGTCGCCTGGAAGGAAGAGGAAGAAGATAGAAGAGCGTCAAAGAGGGGATCCTTCGGTCGTTCTCTTTCTCGTCTCTTCCGAGCGAGCATCGATGACGGCGGGCGATCCCGAGAAGCGGCTTCAAAATGTCATGGACAAGCTCTACCGTGCGCCCAAACCCAAACCCTCTCTCCCCAGGTCTCTTCCAACCGAAACCCTAGAAAAGATCTCACAATTTTTTTTCCTTATGTTTATTGAAATACTAGTGAGCTGATCCTGATCGGGGTTTTGCTTGTGGTGTGGTGGCGGTGGGAGCCAGTGGGAAGAGAGCGGAATCGGGTTGGACAGGGAGCTTCGAGAAGGGAATGAGGGTTCCGGCCGTGGCGGCATCGTCGATGGGGCCCCTCGGGCCGGCTCCGCCATGCCGGCCGTGGGATCGAGGGGATCTCATGAGGAGATTGGCTACGTTCAAGGCCATGACTTGGTTCGGAAAGCCCAAGGTTTGGATTTTCTGTTTTTTTTCTTCTCTTCCCGATGAAAACTATTTCTTTATAGTTTTATACATTACACTGGTCATATTTGCTGCTAATGATGTTTTATTTGAGCACATTTACAATTACATAAGTAATGGATAAGTGGAAGTTTGGGGCTTAATTTTCTCTTCGCTACTTTTCGATTTCTGCATATTAAATTTCGAATTTTAGAGACAGATATGCTATTTTAGTTTCTTGATGATTCCTTGTACAAGGAAAAAAATCATTTTATATGGCTAGGAAGTGGATTTTTCTTCTTGAAAAACTAGGAAATCATTTCGTGTAGTTATGGAATTATTGTAAGAAAAAAGATGTCTATAATTTGAGTTGAAAAATAAAAAAAGACAATGGACAAGGAACAATGATTTTCCTGTTTAGGTTTTAGGTTTGACATTTAAGAAATAGAATTGGCATCTTCCTTTTTTATTGAAAAATTCTCATTTGACTTCTTTTATTTGGATGGATTGTGCATTTTGATTCTGACACTATTGATGATTCTTAATTGAGTCTGAAATTTCAAACAAGCAATGACCTTGGGCTGTTGGAAAATCAGGGGCTTAAATGCCTCAACTAAATAATATGATGTCAAAAAGTGGATGTATATGAACAGATGTCTGGCACTGTAGAAACAAGGGTTAGATGTGGAAATCTTTTTGGGAATTTTACTAACATGACACCCTAGTTTAGTCCCACATTAGAAGTGAGAGGAAATTCGAGTTGATTTATGCGATTGGAGTGGGTCCATTATCATAACACTTGGGTTTAAGTATTTTGGTTTAGTGATTTAGTCTCATCAAGTTAATGTGTTAGGCATGGGCTGTCATATCGTGTCAACTGGTGCTATCGATCATTGTGCAAATTGGTACAAACCAATCGGTCTTGACATATGTATGTCGGTACACTATGTTGGTACGTTGGTACATATCAATTTTTGAAAAGATTGAAAATGATCGAAAATTAAAACAAATAATTTTTAGTGTTCTCAATCCTAGTTTAATGGTTTTTTATTATATTTAAATGAGAATAGAGTAGATATAAGGCATAAAGGAATAGAAATTCTAGGTTACACAGATGAGAAAGACACTAATCATCCTTAACAAGCTCTGATTAGGCCTGAATTATGAAAACCACTATTCTTCAGTCTTAACAGTCTATGAAAATCAAATAAGAACTTCTCTCAATTTTTTGAATTGATGGACTTAAAATTTGTAGGAAAGAAAGGTATATTGACGGACTTATACGTACCGTCTGGTACGGACGGTATTATTTGAAGTTAAAATCCTTGGTATATACTGTAGTATCTTCGAAGTTGTACTACTGTAGTTTTGGTGGAATTGTTAATGGGTCGTTACATTTAATACAAGCAATGAGACATATATTCTATATCTCTTTTTATTGATTCTAATAGCATTAAGAAAATGAAATAAAAATAAATTACTTACCAAAAGAAAAAGGAGGTGTGCATTATAGTTGTTAGAAGCAGTTTCTTTCATGTATTGCCTGTGCTTTCAAAATTCAGTTTTAATTTTTGAAGCAACCAGATATACATGGTGGCTAAATCATATTGGACTTGTGCACATTTCTTTGATTTGAAAAGTCTGGAAGCTTGTAGGTTTAGCAGCTTTCACAAGATATTTCTCATCTTTTATTTACATGTAATTTGTTATCTACATTCTCTTTTAGTACCTTTATTAGTTGAATCTTTATTGAAACTTTTTCTCTTCTCCAGGCAATTAGTCCTGTAAATTGTGCAAGGAGAGGTTGGATAAATGTGGAAATGGATGTCATAGCATGTGAGGCATGTGGAGCACGACTCCTCTTTGCAACTCCTTCTTCATGGCCATTGCAACAAGGTTTGTATGCTTTCTATTATCATTCCATGGTTTACAATTGCAGTAATATATCTTGGCATGGTTTTTAAATCTCGGCTCAGTACTAATGTTGGTCCTTGGTTGACCAGTGTGATATCAGTATATATGATGGTGTCCTGAACTTTACTGCTTGATATTATTGAAGAAAAAAAATTTTAATGAAAAAATATGAATACTGAGGAGCACGATAGTATAATAAGGTTTTGGTCAGATAAGAAAATATTGACTGGTACATACTAGTTCAACTGATATTTGAAACTATGCATCCTGGACTGTAATAATAATTGAGTCAGTTTCAAAATCTTCATGCTTTAATCTTTCCCTTAACGAATTAAAAGATCACTGAGGTGAATCTTTTGACTCGCAATTCTAGATTTACAGTTTATGTCCATGTTGTTCTTTATTTTGGTTATTAGACATGTATGGTATGTCTTGTGGAACTCTCATTATTGTTGAAATATCATGTCTAGCAGGTATAAATATTATATATAGTCATCAAAATATTGATTTCTATAGTGTTCTTTTTCACTCCCAAATTTTCTGATGGTGTTTCAACTACTTGTTAATCTAGTTGAGAAGGCTGCTGCTGTATTCAGCTTGAAACTTGATAATGGGCATAAGCTTTTGTGTCCCTGGATCGACAATGCATGTGATGAGGCATTAACTCTGTTTCCTCCTTCACCTCCTCATGCTTTATTGGAGAGCTATCGTGAACGTTCTCTTGCACTCCTGAAGCTCTCTGCCCTCCCTGTGATTTCATCCTCAGCCATTAATTACATGAAAATGAAAAGTCCTCAGTTAGAAAACTTCCTCTCAGAGTCATCTGATTACCCAATTAACTTGAGCAAGGGTATTAAGATTGTTGATAGTTCAATATGCAAGGACATGGATGGTGGCTATGGAACTGTTACAGCTGATTTATTTTACCAGGTTTGCTTCCTTGTACAGTTTCCTTTACGGCTCAAACTAAGATCATCTTATTCTGCAATTGTTCTTTTTATATGCTACATGTCTGATAGTTGCAGTTCTAGAACTTTGAAGCTTTTATTTTCTTTTACTAACTTCGCTTAGCTAAATCTTATGCTTGCTATGATAACATCTTAAATTAGTTTGATTTTGGACATTGCTATAAGATCTCTAACGAGAACATATGGATTATTTTGCTTGAAAACCAATTTATACCTCAAATAACAAAAGTTTGTTTGGAACCTACCTCATCTAGTGGTGTACTAATATTAAGATGTGTTGCCTTTTTAGATGGAATGTTTAAGAAGAAGGAATAGACAAAATTTGCACGCTTGAAGGGAAATTTTATTGTTAAAGATATTAAAATGAATGTGAAATTAGCCATATTTGGTTACTTAGTTTCATAGAAATGTATTTTGCCATAAATATTAATTTTGTAATTCTCAAAGGATCATAATTGGATTTAAGACTAACAATGGTCCATATTGGTTGAATTTGCTGATTTGTATTGTGCAATTGGTTTTTCTCTTTCACTCCCTATAGACAATCAAAACTTGACCCAAATAGGTGGACTCTGAATATTGAACAGAAATCGGGTAGAAATTGAATCAACTTAATTAGTTGAACACTTCCATGGATCAGTGGGGTTTTGTAAAAAGTTGGTCCATATTGGAAGGATATATAAATCACTGTAGGATTGGTCAATTCTGATTGTTCAGCTGACCTAACTTCAAATAGACTTGGGATATGCTAATCACAAACCATTTTTTGGAATCATATTAGCAAAACATAGGCTAGCTAGGCTGATTAATAGTACTTGGGTTTTTTGAACACTATCTTGATTTTCTATAAAGTAAATATTAGTGGCCAAATGGATGAGGCTCACTCCACTCAAGAAGCTGGGAATGTTCGAACATCAGAAGTCTTACCAACATCTAGGAGGCTTTTTCCATGATTTGATGGCCTGATGTCCAGTAGTGATGGAAGGCCAGGGAGCCATCTTACTGTTTCACCAACCATCAACCTTAAACTGAAGTATGAAAGACGAAAAGGTGCTATGATTTCTCAAGTGCTTTTTTTTTGGTAAATTTGAAATCATGATTTATACCTTTGGCATCCATTATGTGAGACTAGTGTATTCATTAATTTTTACTAACAAGATAGATATAGTGTGTGTATTCCTTGTTGATTGTTCATCACTTCATCATGGGAGAGTTTACATGCCTTTTGAAACAAATGCAGTAATTCAAAGGGTTTAGACTTTTATCAGTTTATGTGAGGTTTTTCGTTGGTGCATGCTTATGAGTAAAATTGTTCAGCTATAGGTTATTATTTTATTCTGTGGTGTACTGCACTTTTTTGTTATTTTTCATTTTTTATTCAAGTTTGTCTAGTTTTGTTTCCTTTATATGAAACAAAATTACTTGTTTGCATTATATGAAAGAGCTTGTTTTATCTTGTTTCAAGTCAGCTTTTTCTTTTTTAGATGTTATTTTGTGAGATAAAATATATCTGTCTTGTAAAACAAAGATATCACTTGTGTTATTTGGATTTTGCAAGCAAAGGGGGTGGTAGTTTTAGATAGTACATATTCGACCCAGGATGTGTGCAAGTCGTTTAAATTATAGCAGAGGGAATTTCAATTTTTTGAAATAAAAGTAGTTGTTGGATGGAGAATATAATCCTGAACTATAAATATCTTGATTTTGTTCAACTGACATGATTTACTTTTAAGTACTTATTTGTAGTCTTATTTCATTGGCTTATCTACTATTTATTTATTATTTTTCTTACCACAGTTGTTACTTGATTCTTCTGCCAGCAAAGTGTTCAAGTATAAAAACATTTGTTGTGAAAGCCTAAAATTATGTTGATATCTGCTCTTTGAGCTTAGTCTATTGTCATTGACTTGGATATGTTATTACTCTGGCTGAAACAAATGGAATTCCTCAGTTTTTGGGTTTTCATCAGTTTGTGTGATATCAATTTTTTAGTGTCTGATGCAAAGTTTCAACCTGGTCTATTCAAATTGTAGTTTTCTCTTATGTACATCAATTATTTTAGATTTAGAAAGTCACTGTATGATGTTGATGAGAAAAACCAAGTCTTAACTCATTAGAGCATTAGAGTTGTCATTTGGCATTGAAAAAATTACTTATTTTTTCTAGAAACTGAGACTTTTAATGGTTATTAACTTGAAACAGCTATGTTGGCCTATTACATGATAGACTTTCTAAATAACCATGTGATTCAAATTGTTCCGACTTTGAGCAACAAAACACATGTATAACATAGATGTTAAAGAGCATAAATTAGAATATCAATAATTCAACATGTATATAAATACAAATTAAAATTTGGCAAAACACAACTATAATTGGGATAAATACATGATTTTTATATTATTAGAACTTATATAATGTAATTGGAAACTTATTATGAAGAAGATATATAAGACAAATGAAAATTTTTGAAGCTATAATTAAGATGATTGATACACAAGGAAATAATCTAAAGTATTAGAAGAAGAATCAAATTGTAAGCAAGGC